AGATATCACACCAAAATCAAACCAATCAGAAATTCCTCAATACAAAAAATAAAAAAAAAATTCTTCTGTATACCCCTCTAAAAAATTATAGTAGAAAAATAAAAGAATAAAATTATTTCCTAAAATTTGATTTAATGCTGAAATAAAGAATTGCACTCGCGTTCTAGATACTAGAAATAAAATGTTCAATCAAGAACATGCATACTAAAAATATTTTCAAAATGGTGGAAGACATGGTTTCTATCATTCGCTAATTCGACTCGGAAGATGTATGTAAAGCATTCTCCTGAGGTGGTCCCTCCCCGTGAAAATCAGAAAAAACATGATTGTCAGTCATGGGGTTTCTATACATTAGATCCCCATTTGATATCGCATGCCGGTCCCACATAGCCCCTCCAGACAAATTAGAATTCTCAGAATCACTAGAACTACAAACATTTAAATCTTTTAACTTCTCCTCCAGTTGAGGGCTGAGAAGACTAGGGGAACATTCAAAACTCTGCTCAGAAGCGCTAGATTCTGAGTCACTGAAGTCGCCGTCACTATCGTCGCTACTACTGCTGCTGCTACTGCTGCTACTGCTGCTGCTACTACTATCAGAGACGTTAGCCGCCTGGGATCTCCTCATACTCATCTTGAAATGTCACGGAGACTCGTCCAGGGAAAGGTCTATCAATAACATCAGGGCTACTAAATGACTCCCCGTCCCCGTATTTATCTAACTCATGAGAGAGGATGCTCCCTACACTGGGGGACTCGATATCCTCCTTTAAATATATCTTAGTCAAATCTAAAAGATCAAGGTCAACCGACTCCTCATCATCATCATCATCATCATCCATACACCGGAATTTTTCTTCCGGATGTTGAATTTTACCAAACTTAAACAAATCAATGGAACTGACTTCACTATCCTCCAGGTTGCTCCCTTCTTCTGTGATGTCCTCAAGTCTATTTAAACTCTCACTAAAACTTCCCAAACTACTTGTCAACTCTTCCATGATATTCTGGGAGATTTCAAAGTTATCAAACTGATCCAAGATGTCTAAACTTTCCGGACTCCCCACCGGCATATCACTATTTTGATTATCATTATTGTCATTGGTCGATTCACTGCTACTAGTGGAACCTATTTCTGGCGTCATTGACATAGGACCTAACAAATGGCCATGTTGGGAAGTTTTGATTTTGGAAGAATATATAATTAAAGTTTCTTTGCCTTCAGTTTTCTCCGGATCCTGTTGCGACATCTGACTCCTCTTCTCCGGAACGACATTTTGATTGATATACTCGTGCACCGTATTCTGGTTCATATATTCGTGCGTCGCACTTTGATTTAAATAGTCATGAGTGGCGCATTGATTAACATAATCACGAGTCGCACTTTGATTCATGTAATCGTGAGAAACTGGTTTCCCTGTTATCACATTCTGGTTGATATAATTTGGAATGGCCGTATCCGACTCTTTGCCATCGGTACTGTCATACACTACCTCATCATTGACCGTATACTCGTACGTCATGCTTCCACTTGAGACAGCCGGATGCACGTTGATACGCGTATTCGCTTCAGGCGTAACTGGTGTTGATGAAGGAGCTGAGAATGCACCGGAGGTGGGAGTTTGCAGTTTTGAAGTTAAAGTTAAACTATTATGCAGCTGGCCATTGCCTGACTTGCTGCTGTGGAGATAGTTCAGTTCAGGCGTACTTAGCGTGGGCCTTTCACGAATCATATTTTCAGATGTTTCAAATCGTAGTGGCGTGGTGGTTCGTGGTGCTCCTAGGCTCCTACATGATATTCTTGCACTTGGATGTCTGCTGTAAACAAAGGAAAGAATCATAAAGGCTATAATCTGAACATGACTTAAACATGACAACACTACCTCTTATCAGCCAATCAGAATTTGTGTTTAATACAAGCCTCTTCTAAGTAAGGCACACTATAATTGGTTGACATATCAAATGATTTGCAGTTGCAGGAGATGTAGAACAGAAACTGGAATTCATACAAGCGACTGATAAGGTTGTATGTGATAATGGTCTGACTGAACAAAGTTACCATAATTTATCACATCCAAGATAACCGTTTAATAATGAAAAATGTTTTCTCACCTTGTAAAGTCTGCTTTTTTATAACTTTGTCGAACTGAATCAACCACTTGCTTTTGTGTCTTTCCACTATATAGAGAAAGTACAATATTCAAATTGGGATCATAATTATTTGACCCTTCAGACATCAAAGTCAACTTTTCATACCATACACAAATTAAACTTGTATACTCTATTTTCCATATTTTTTTCAAAATATTTGGTCAAGACTTATGTTTGTCTGGTCAAAAATTAGAAAATATTATAAGAAAATTGTTTCGATCTTGGAAAATCATCAACATTTTGGAGGGAAAGTGCATGGTGTTAAAAGAATTTAGATCGATACAATGTACCAAATAAAGATGTCAGAAGTCAACATAATAACCTGGATTTTAAAAAAAGTAACAAGTCATCCAAAAAATTCATTTTAGTTATATTCTGTCACTGGCTGAAATAAAAATCATAATGATGATTCCACAGAAAAAAATGAAGGCTAGGAAAAAAAATAAAGGCTAAAGAGAAAAAAATATAGTTAAACTACACATGCCTTGCTTTGTATAAGGTGGGGAAGGTCATCTATGCATACAGATTAACCATATAAATAAGTTCAGTGGTGATTATCTAAGCAGGTCTAATGTATGTATAATGTACACAGAAACAAAAATATTCAAGTTATCTATACTGTTAATTAACAACTAAAGATGGAAGGAGGTACATTTTTTAGGCACAGTTTGAAGTGTGACTATTATGACATTTATCTCTCGTAATAATATTAACCACTATTAGACTTCATCTTGTACGACATGACGTGAAAACAGACATACTTACCTATACCTAAACGTCGACCCTCTGCTGAAGACTTTCGGTTTTTGCTTCATAAGTTTTGGCTCTGTGAGTCTAAAAAATGTATGGTGCTCAACGCATGACTTCCAGAGTCTCTTTGCCTCATTACGACTACTCAGAAAGAACTCTACTGTATCTTTATAATAGGCTTGCTGTAAGAGAGTAAACCACCAGAAATAACAAATAAATCCACAAAACAAAACATGAATCACCAGTAAAACCTACAAGCAATATGGATTTAGTAAGTCAGTTTTCAGTTGCATACGATTCCATTTCTGCAACCACACAAAGTTCAAATCTGTTTCAAATCCGCCAGCATGTACACATGTGAGACAGGTTTTTGAAAATTTTGTAAAACCTTGTAGGAGTTGAATAGTTATATCAAATATTGTTGCCATGTCATCAAATCATGAAAATTTTAAGCAGTAAAAATTAATTGGTTTACAGTTTATCAATTCAATTCAATGCTTCAACAGAGGTCAGAGGTCACAAACACTACTTACATATCCTTCTTGGTGCAGCTTTATAAGGAAGCGTTTCCTCTTGAAGCTCAGTTTCCGAATCTTGGCCCATGAAAACGTGTTGATCTTTGTTCCATTGTGGAAAACAAGAACACCCATGTGCGCAACTGCCAAGTCAAGTCTCACCCCATCATTGTCCTACAAGTATTAATGGTGATATACACTGTACTTCATTTAAAAAAACAAGCCATATGTCTGTCCATATGGTAGCTTTTGCTTTGTTCCAAAGGATTCACAGTATATTTCTTAATGCTTTGGGTGCATTCACATTTAAAAACAAAATATATTGTCTATTACTGTATGACCATGAAGCAGGGTTTGAAATATTGCTCAAAATCAAAATTTGAACTTTTAGACCAATCATTTTTCCCAAGTTTATATTAAATCTGCCACTGCACATCTAAAGAAAAGAAATACGAGTATGCACAACTAAATACAACATGGCCACCAGTCAGCCATTTTACATTGTATCATGAAACAATTACAGTATATATTATGCACGAGTATATCTACAAACAAAATGGCCACCAGGAAGCCATCTTCAATCAGATTGCCCTATCATGTCTAAATCTAGGAACATGAGATGACATAGAGGAATGAAAAGACAGACAAGTCTCTGTTGAGGGACTAAAACTTACTTTTGCAGGATGTAACTTAACACCGTACATCTCTAATCTACGTGCGATATCTAGAAGATTAAAATCAGCATCAGCCGGCGTTTGACCTCTGAAATAAAAGAAATGATGACAGTTTTATATTTTATGTTTTCCTCTATAACTTCATATTCTGACAATCATGACGCTGATTCTATTGCGAGACGTGCATGGTGTGCCCCATTGAGCATGGAATTATCCTTGAATCCAATGTGACACTGCGAGGAAAGTCATTCTTGTAACGATACACCAAAATATATGGAATGGCGAAATGTGAATGCCAATCAGTCCTGGAACATGTACAAAATTATACATATATATTTCATACATATTTGTAATATGTGGAATATAAAATAAAGTGAAATAATATGTTAGGGGTATCAAAATGAACGAATGTTTCATACATGTGATTTTTATGGTATTCTTGTATTTTTGCTTCTATTGGTCGTGTTTGATGGGGTACAAACTTGAATGCACTGATGTATCTTCCATTGTCATGATCTTGTGGTGTGTAATCACCAACTTCAGCTGAAAATAGTAAACAGAATGAAATGTAATAAATTATAAATGTTTAGGTGTGCTACTACACAAAGCAGACTAATGTTTAGGTGTAAAACTTTAAAGG